GTGTGTGTGTGTGTGTGTGTGTGTGTGTGTGTGTGTGTGTGATGAAATCACGGAGGAGAGAACAAACCATCTGAGCAGGCTGTTTTATACATAAATATATATATAAAATGGACCCAGGAACCTTCTGCTGCACGGCTCTGGCGCTGTCCGSTTCAGCACCGCCAGGGCGCACGCGCGCTGGCACGTGCATGGGGCGCGTGAACGCGTGCACGCAGGGGGAGAAATCAAAACCAAGGGGGAAAAAAAAGAAAAGAAATGAAGAAAAAAAAGACACGGTGTGTTCCTACAGCTGCTTTGTCCTTCAAGTTCAGCGTTTTTGCGTCTTCACGGTCATCTTTTTTTGCAAAACGATCAGGTTTAATTTCTCCTCTAAAAAGAATGACTTGAATGCGCCATATGTGTTTTCCCTAATATGTCATGAAGCGTAAAAGTCCCGCTGCGCCTCTTGGAGAGGTTTTACTGCGCAGAAAAAGTGGCCCGTTCTGAGCAAAGCTGCCAAAGCGGTATTTTTTTGCTGCAGTGGGTGGTTTGTCTGTTGCAAATGTCACGCTGGGAGGGGAGAAAACGCAGCTACAGATTTACCAAAATCTCTCATGGTTCTTCGCAATACACCGATCTCCAGACACATCCCTCTCTGACAGTCCGAGACAGAAAAGACAGTGTTGCGCTTTAAGGACACGGTGTGCGCTTTTTTTTTGCGCGTAAATGATCTGCACCACACCCGAGAAGCCATCATGTCGGCAAATCAATATGTGTGCAAAAACACAGGCCAGAGTTAAACCTTACAAACAGAAAGAAATACAATTTAAAAAAAACACGGGTTGTGGCGTGATGGACCGGCCCGGTTCGACGGACAGAGGACGGTTTATGGTGCTGACACAGATCACCTGGAGACATGTCTTAAATCAAGATAAGATACTTACAGGATGTCAGCCTCTTTTCTGAAGCCTTTTGTTTTAACTTCATCATCCTGTGGTCCGGATATTTAAAAAAAATACCAAAAAGTAATATAAAATATCTAATTCGTTTGTGTTGTTTAGGCTTTTCCGTGCCGGAGAAGTCAGACTGCGCCCTGCCTGAAACCCATTCCCCCCATCATARATACCTACAGGCGCTCGGTTAAAAAAATGCAGCGATCCTCATGCAATCCACATCGACTGATTGGTAAAGATATATWTTTAAATCCCTGCCCTGGTCCAGCCGAGTTGTGCTCAGTTGACACCCTGTACTTCCATCCCGCTCCAGAAAAAGACGCGGGGCCGTGAGCAGCTCTGCGACATTTGGGGGGGCTTTACGCAAAAAAAAAAAAAAAAAAAAAAAAAAAAAAAAAAAAAAAAAAAAAAAAAAAAAAAAAAAAAAACATCCCGACACCGACAGAACATCCACCCTCAGCCCCAGCTCTTCCACCCCGCCTTCAGACCTCATCAAAATGAAGCATACTCACTTTGAGAGGGTTACAGTGGATCCGGAGAGCCGCGGCAGGACTGCAGATGCGGGAGAGCTCGGGGAGAAACTGCGGTTGTCGCCATATTGTTGCTGCTCTCTTCCCCCTCAGCAGCAGCAGCAGCAGCAGCAGCAGCAGCAGCTTCCCTGCATAATTGATGACTCTCAGCAGGATGTGGAGGGAGTGTCGGCGTTTCCTACGATCCTAAAGGTCACCGAGGCCTGCAGCCCCTAAAGGAGACCCGTTTTCAGAGCCTGGAGGGATGGAGAGCAGTGATGCTGAGAGGACACGCCTTGGTCCTGAGTTTGGTTTCATTCGGTCTGAGGCCACTGCAGGATGATGCTCAGACTATTTATAATAAGAAACATTCATTATAATGTTTTTATAATGGTTGAACTATAGTTGTGTCACTGCTGATTGTTTTCCTGTTTTTTTATTTATCTTTTTGTTTTTTGCAATCTACGTTTGCATATTTTGTGCTATTTTATGAAGATAAAAATGACTTTTTTGTAACTGTTATGCTTTTCAAAAAATAAGTTTTCCCCATAGTTATTTAAAAGCATTTACTTTTAAATCTGTTTTTTTCCATTGTTTTGTATTTTTTAGTTTTTAGTTTCTGTATAAACTTTAATTTAGACTTTTTTCTACTTAGCTTTTAGTTAGTTGCTTCTTTGTTACTAGCTTTAGTCGTATACACCTAGCTAGCAATATTTTCTTTTTTAGCATTTAGTTATTCAGCTCATCTTAGCTACCATTTTGCTACCTTTAGCTGGTATTTAGATATTTTTTATTTAATTAGCCTTTAATTAGCCTATTGCATGCATTTAGATCAGTGGTTCCCAAACTTTTTATCTTCTGACCCACAAATTATCCACGGCAAAAACTTGTGACCCCAAATATTACTGGTCTGAGTACATGAACTTCATTAATAACCCTAAAAACACAGGCTTTTTGACCATCTAAACAGCTTGTACACAAATATAAATACTTATTTATACTTATTTTGTGTTTTTGTATAATTATAGGGAAAATATTACATCAGCAATTATTTTATTACCCTTTAAATTGATTTCTGGAGATTATCCAAGGTGYTTCATGACCCATAATTGGGTCCCAAGCCCAACTTTGGGAACCAAAGTGCAGTGGTTCCCAAACTTTTCAGATTTTGATCCACAAAATAACAGTAGCAGAGACCTGTGCCCCCAGATATTTTTGGATGATAAACATTTGTAGCAGGTCAACAAAACATGGGCATAGTAACAATATTTTTATACTGCATTTATCCATTTTAAATACACTAACCTCACTCCTTTTGCAACAACTAAGGCAAAAACGTAATTAATTCAGAAAATCTTTTCAGGACCCCACTTTGATGTTTCCGGACCCCACTTTGGGTCCCGACCCCAACTTTGGGAAACACTGATTTAGATAACACTTTTTAGATAGCTGCTTTTAGCTTTCAGCTAACATTTTGCTTCTTTTAGTTAGTTTTAGTATTCTTTGCTTTTTATCTCAGATTATTAAATAAAAATATACATTTTTAATATTATTTTATTATGTGTGTGTGTTTGGGGGATGGATCAGCACAAGTGAAATGTGGGCTTGACTAAATTCACATTTTTATTTTATTTTATTATTAGCCAACTGTTTTCACTACAACTCATGTAGCCTATATCTTACAACAGCAGCATCTTTTGTGTTGATATATTTTGGTTAAGAGTGTAATGTGTATCGATGAAATATGGACAGACCACAGTACTTACAGATGTTACAGGTACTTATGGAGCTGAGAAGAGGGCCCTGGAGAAGATGGTGGAGATACTGGTCAACACCCAGCATCCTCTGCAGGTTCACTGCCAGGCTTCACTCACCTGTGCTACTGATACAGTGAACACCTTCACCTGTGACAAGTCAAAAAGAATAATTCATTTATTATGTGTTCAATGAGTTTAATTAATATGACTGAATTGTTTAAGGCTAGTTGCCCAAAATCATTTTAATTTGAAAGTATTTTGTCTGCTTCAGTACCAGTTGTCCCAACGTGACGTCATGTGAAAGAACAGTTGTTTTTGCTGGTGGTTAAAAACAGAATCCAGAAAAAAAAAACTGTTCAAAAAAAGTCCAAACTCAGTGGAAATGAAGGTTCTCGTCCTGCTTGTGAGTGTCTTCTGTTTGACTGAGACAACTTCAGCACAGCAGCACAGTAAGTTAAAACAAGTACATTTGACTTCCAGTGATAATGTAATCGCCTTCGTGTCCGTGAACATGGCCGCAGCGGCTAATCAACATCAGCCTGCAAGCTAGCTAACAAAAACTGTCACAATTCGGTATGTTTTAACAGATTAAGCTCAAATATGGTTTGCTAAAAGTCTAACATTAACTCTGTGGAGTAACACCTTAAATTATATTTAAATTTAGGTTTGTTTAAAGCTGGAATTTCCTGCTAGAGTCAACTCAGCTGTCTGTGAAAGTCAGCTAAATCATCATGACGKTTCTGATCCACAACTTTTTGGACTGAATCTAAGTTTTAAAAAAATTGCTGCGCACCTAATCCATTTTAGAAAATGGTTATGATGCAATAAATTTTACAAATATTTTATGCGTGTTTTCGCACAAATATAAACGGTAACGTGTGAGATCTCGCGATATTTCGTACAGTAATTATTTTTAAATCAACCRTGAAATATCGCGATATTTCGTGCAATAATGCCTGTATATTTTTCATGATAGGATCAGGCTTTCCAAGCAATATAGGCTTAAAAACTACTATGCTATAAGTTTTTTTGTTGGATTAATGTGTTTATTTTGCTATTTTTATAGATGAAAACATCCAAAATTATTACCTGTGATATACTTTAAAATTTTAATTCCCCCCATGTTTAATATATTTAACATATATGTAATATAGTTTCACTGCAGTAGCTTAACTGGTTAGCTATGACTCAAACTTGATATTATCATATRTAAATCATGCTTACATTATGAATACAAGTTATATTATTTAAYACCTTTTATTTTCTTGTATTTACTAGATGAAAGTCCTCAATGAGGCTTTTGATTTAAAAAACTAAGCTTTTACTAATGATGCATTATGTTGTAGAAATTATAATTATCTTTAAATGTGACTAAAGTGATGAAAAAAAGTTCTGCATCTGCCTGAGTTACAAACATCACATGACTAACATTTTTTCTATGATTTATTTTAAACCTTGTTGATGTCATTTATATATGACATGTATTACATATGTATGTAAATATATATTTATATTTAGTCAAATATAGTGTAGCATCACACTCAGACAACTAATAACTGTTACTGTTTTTAAATCTACATGAAATCTGTCTCTGACTTTGCTGATGAGGTTGTGGGCAGCGGACGTTGGTCGGGCCTCCTGGTTTGTCTCGTATTGTGGGCGGGCGAGAGGCCCTTGAGGGTGCGTGGCCCTGGCAGGTCAGCATCCAGATCCTGTCCACTCACTTGTGTGGTGGAACGGTCCTCAACAACCTCTGGGTTCTCAGCGCAGCGCACTGCTTCTACAAATACATGTGAGTAAGACAGGTCTGAAACTCAGTGTGCRTCCTCTTTACAGTTCTGTGCAAAACGTTTCAAACCAACCCATCTAAGTTATGGTGTTCCTCCGAAGAGCCAGAGTCCCTTGTAATCTTTGTAAGTGGTCTTGATCTAAATTTTGTCAAAATTCCTCCTTTCTGTATGATTCATAGGTTAGAATTAAGAGGCTTAAAAAGAAAATATTTCTCTGAAAATGATCAGGTAGTGGACAGAAAATGAGTAAAGTGGCAAAAGTTTGAAGGAAAACTTCTGAAGAAATATTGATCAGAATCACCTCAAAAGATCACAAGTATGCCTCACTGCTTGGAAGCAATGTATGAAGAAATGAGGACTACATTAAGATTTTTGCACAATATTTTACATCACCGTGACCATAAATAATAGGAAAAGAAAAAAGCGCTCAAAACAGCCAGTGGGGTTCCAAAGAGGACAAATTGTAACTATTTATTAATTAAATATGAAGAACTCTGTGTGAACAAGCTCAAACTGAGACAAAAACATTTTCCTCGCAGCGAGTCAGACCCGTTCTGTTTTGTGTTCAGGCACATCAGCAAAAACTACTTCCGTGTGGCGGCGGGACTGACCGTGCTGTCCGATCCCGGTCCTTACGTTCAGATCTGCTCCATCAGAATAATTAGAATCCACGAGGACTTTGACCCCCACACACTGGACAGCGACGTGGCGCTGGTGATGCTCAGCGCTCCGCTCAACTTCACGGAGCACGTCCAGCCAGCCTGCACGCCTTTTAATGTGAACCATGTGGTCCGCCTGACCTTCGCCCACTGCTTCATCTCAGGATGGGGGAGCAACGCCTACAAAGGTGGGTCCGACACATTCACACATGCTCACAGCACACCTCAACTGGCTGTGATATACGTTATCGCCCACCATTCACAGTCAGAAAAGCTGAGTGTGTGTGTGCGTTCTTTAGGAGCTATGATGGACAGACTGCAGGAAGCTGAACTGGAACTCATCGACAGAGATCAGTGTAACCAGGTCACCTGGTACGACGGTGCCATCACAGAGAACATGCTCTGCGCGGGACTGGAGAGCGGAGGAGTTGACACCTGTCAGGTTCAGTGATGGTTCTGGAGCATTTTAAGGGTGTCTGCTCTAGARCCCTAAAACACGCCTCTAACACATTAGTGGTGCTCTGGCACAGGGGGACAGCGGAGGACCCCTGCAGTGCTACAAGGAGGACGAAGACCGGTTCTACGTGGTGGGAGTGACGAGCTTTGGAGAAGAGTGCGGACTTCCATTCAGACCCGGGGTGTATGCAAAAGTCAGCAGGTTCGCAGAGTGGCTGACAGCAAATGAAGAAGCGTCAACGGCATCAGCATCATTTCCTGTTTCACAAAATCCAAACAGCAAACTGATCCCAGTTCTGCTCAGTGTGGCTCTGGTGCTGCTCTGAAAACAGTCTGTTAGTAATAAATGCTGAAGCACCGGCACATCTGAATGCTGCACAGGTTTTTCTTTTGCAGCTTAGTGGCTTTTTGTTTGCTTTTGCTTTGCAGGTAATTTCTGGTGGACATTTCACAAATAGCTTAGATTTTTCAGTCTAGTTTTAAAGCTTTAAAAAGCTTTCTCCCTTAACAATTTGTAATGATGTCCTGATGCATCTCAGTATTTTCATCTGCATCTCAGATTTTACAGCAAAGGCAGGTTTAGCTCAGCATATCAAGTCCAAAACTCGACAACAGAAGAAGTTTGCTTTACTGGAAACTTGACTCTCTCCGCGGTACACTTCGCTTGGACAGCACACCGCTTCCAAAACAGAGGGGCGGGAGACAGAGAAGTGGGTGAAGAATTTGTCTGACAGACAGCTCACCCAGCCAGAAACTGAAATCCTTGCCAGGGGACTGAACTTTGCGGTCGCACCAACAAGAATCCCTTTGGTTGAGATGATTACAGCCACAGAATCAGCCATTCGAAACAACAAAATCCCAGGATTTGAAGCAGAGCAACTTAGGAATAAAGTTTCAGCCTGCCTCAGCAACGCCAAACCACCACCTTCTAATATCAGCAGAGAAGAGAGAGAGGCTCTCACTACCCTCAGCAAGGACAAGAACATCATCATTCTTCCAGCAGACAAAGGAAGGTGCACAGTTATTCTGAACCAGAAGGACTATGAAGATAAGATCATGACACTCCTTAGCGACACAACCACATACGAGCCGCTGAAGAGAGATCCAGGAAGTGGTTACAAGAAGAAACTAATAGACTGCCTGAAAAGTTTAGAGCAGGACAAGGCTATTAATCGGATTCTGTATCATAGACTKTACCCAGGTGAGGCCACTCCTAGTCTGTATGGTTTACCCAAAATTCACAAACAGGATGTACCGGTAAGACCCATTGTCAGCATGATCAACTCTGTCACTTACAATGTTTCTAAATATCTGACGTCTATACTTGGTCCTTTAGTTGGCAGCTCAGAACATCACATACAGAACACTATGGACTTTGTTGACAAGGTGAGGGATGTCATCATGGAGRCGGATGAAACTATGGTCTCTTTTGATGTTACATCGCTCTTCACGTGCGTTCCTGTTAATAAGGCAGTGGATGTGGTCTGTGCAAGATTGAAATCAGACACCACTCTCAGCAGCAGAACCACACTTTCCACAGAACAAGTGTGCCAACTCCTCAAACTGTGCCTGGAATCAACCTACTTCACGTATGGGGGGCAATATTATAGGCAGAAACATGGGTGTGCCATGGGATCCCCAGTTTCTCCTATTGTTGCAAACCTGTACATGGAGGAGGTGGAAAAGAGAGCCTTGATGTCCTTTTCAGGGGTGCCACCGAGCCATTGGTTCAGATATGTTGACGACACCTGGGTTAAAATGAAAGCCCAGGAAGTCCAACATTTCACTGATCACATCAACTCGGTGGATGAATATATAAATTTCACACGAGAGGATGTAAAAAATGGCAGGTTGGCRTTCCTGGATTGCGATGTCTCGGTTTCGGATGGAGGACGGTTGGAAACTGGCGTGTATCATAAGCCCACCCACACAGACCAATATTTGCGTTTTGACTCCCACCACCCACTGGAACACAAGTTAGGAGTGATCAGGACTCTGTACCACAGAGCAGACAGTGTCCCTACAAACCCAGGAGCCAGGCAGAAAGAGAAATCACACACACGACAGGCCCYGGAGCARTGTGGTTATCCTAACTGGGCTTTCCTGAAAGCAGACAGGAAACACAGACAGGATTCCATGCAACCTTCAGGTGAAAATGAAGACCCCAAACCCAGACCCAAACCAGTGGTTATTCCGTATGTTGCGGGTGTTTCGGAGAAACTGAGACGTTTATTTTCTAAACATGATGTCCCAGTAGCTTTCAAACCCCAAAACACATTACGGCAAAGGCTGGTTCACCCCAAAGATCCGGTGCCCCGGCACAAACAGAGCAATGTTGTATATGCTGTTAAGTGCCAGGAGGACTGCGACCAGCCTGAATTTAGCCTGAAACTCTCAGACTGAAGAAGTCTCTTGGAAGAGAGACGAAACGTTTCATTAAAGAAGAACCCGTCCAGAGGACCTATACAAWTTTTTTTTCCTTTAATTTGTAATGATATATTTTGGTTACCAATCCACTTTAAAATCATTAAACAGTTTTGCCCCTCCCTACCTTTCAGAGTTTTTATATCCACGCACACACACACCGATCAGATCTCACTCAAGATTTTAAGTTAAAACCAGGGATAAAATAAGTCTCTGTGGAATAGGAATAATATAGTAATAATTACACTAAATATTTAACTTGTTTTTCTTCAGTAATTTAAAGGCTTTAATATTTCACTAAAACATCCATGGCTGAGCTTAGTAAATTTGTCTGAATTCTGCCAGTAATAATTGTTTGTGGTGCTGTGTATGTGAGATTTTTTTAACCAGGTCTTCAACTTTTGTTTCTTTAAGAAATTCTTGTAAATATGATTTGAAACATGCAAAACTACCATCCTGCCTTTATCAACCAACCTTAAAGAATATTAGTTGGAATTTAAAAACAGAACAGAAACTAGGCTGTGACATCATCATAAATGATGGTGCATTTTTCTGAACAAACGCTGAAGCAGAAACAGTGACACCTGGTGGTAGAAAGCTGGTATTTCCTGTTTCTATCAAGCAGCTGAAGCTTCTCTGGATGGATGAGTTGGAAAAACAAGCAGCAGCAGAAATCTGACAAAGCAATTCTTTTTTATTCGACATGAAACACATCCAGTGACAATGTGACAGTGTTTTTGTCTGACATGTTAGAAGTTTTTCGCACCATTGACTCTTTAGTCCAGAATGGGGTTTTGCTGCAGCTCCATGATGCATAGTGAACAAACTTGAGGTATACAGTGTGGACTTCTTTTCTCTAGTTCTGTGCATGAAAAAAATCTTTTTTTTCATTGCCACACATGTACAGTTACATTTTGTGCTTAGAAGAACTTTGGACATTTCAAAGGTTTCAGCACAACTTGAAAACAGAATATTCAGATGGAAAAAAGTAACAAAAATAAGTAACACAACATTGCATTGTCTGTGTCCAGTTTCCTGTAGAGAGATTTTGCATCATATTTCAGAGCTGATAATAAAAACACAAAACTATTTTAAAGTGAAAGTAAGAGAAAACCTTGAAGATCTCTCTGAAAAGGCTTCAAGAGAGACTGAAGGACAGAAAYCTGCCTACGGCTTTTACTGAATAGCACCAGCGTCTATTGAAAAGGCTTGAAGGCCAGCGTGAAATTATAAAACTTTATTAAAACTCGTTGGAGTGAAACAGTAGCGACAAAGCAATTATCACACAGTTATTCATGAGTAACCAAATTACTGGCTGGCGTCGGTGTCCTCAGCGGCCTGTCGGTGCRCCGAGCTGCTTTGAAATTAAAACCAACTGTTTTGCAGAACTTGTGCAGGTCCAAATGCAAATCCCATCAGGAAAACATGGATCAAAGCTCTAGAAAATATGTTCAAATCCCAATTCTGGATGGAAAGGCTAAAAAAATACAGTGGCGGCGACATTAGGAAAAAAAATTTAAAAAGATTTAATATTTTGGAATCGATTCCATACAAAAGATAAAACGTGTTGCACCATAAAAGCCAAATATCATTGCTAAACTGAACACACACACTCTCACGCGCACACACACACACACACACACCTGTACATAAAATGATATTGGGAAAGTGCACATTGTGTCTGCCCAAATAACCTGTTCCCTGTTTGCCTTTTTTTATGACGTCAAACTGCAGAAAAATGTCAAATATGAAAGATCAGTCAAGTTTTTATCTACAGACTCCACGTCCATGTACACAGTAACACTAGGAAAAACAGTATTTGACTTCTAAAATACAGTACAGACATTTTAATCCTATCTACCAATTAGTTCCTTTCTTTTAAAGCAGGATTCTGCAGGTTTGCTCCCGATTATTTCCATCCCTTCAGAGTTACAGACATTTGGAAAGGATCGGTTTAAATGCTGAGAATGTTCTGATAAAAAGGCTCGACAAACCTAAAAAATAATACCCAACAGACTCACTCTTCCTGTAAAAAAAATTAGAAGCGAGGGTGTTTGGTGTTCCACAGATTCAGTAAGGCAAAGTCTTCTTTTTGTATCGTTTTCTTTAAATTCAGGAGCACATAATCAGAAATGTCTTCAAGGTGAAAGGCACGGACCTGCCTCCTGATGTTTACAGAATCAGCTGCGACTTTAATAGAATGCTGTTTTTGTTTGTTTGTGGATCTTCAGAAAAGCTTATTTTCTTCTGAACAAATTTTATTTACCAGTTCTGTTGACAGAACTGGTTTGTGCCTCGTATAGGAAACCCCTCAGATCTTTGGGAGAATCAGCACCCAATATTATTTTAAACTGACTTAATTTAATTTAATGACACGTATACACAAACAAATGCTGTGAAAGTATGTCAAGAGATGTGTTTTGTAAAACTTTGTAAAACTTCACATTTATATTGGTGTCTATCAGAGCTTCTTTCCAGTGTTTAATATCTTAATATAACTGAAAACAAACAGCTGACTGGATGAGTGTAAACAAAAATGACTGAAGATGCATTGAGATCTGATCATTTGGGGGTTAAACTGAAGAACAATCTGCTTCACTAAAACATTACAATAAACCTTTAAGTTTCTACATAAACATCCGTTTCGGCTGAGATCTCAACTTCCTGTTTCAGAGTCTGAAAACATTCATTTCTGAAAAATATTCAAAAACCACTGAATGCATCACCTACTGACAAACCTGTTTTAAGTTTCTAATTTCGACTTCGAATCATCTTTTCCTTAAAGCCATAATTCAGATTTTTTTGAACAATAATATCTCAGCTGTTACAGGCAGCTCTYTTTGAATGATCTCCATTTAGAGAAACAGTTTTATTCTGATTGGATTGATGAGCTAACAGCTAGTTCAAGTGGGACTAATTATGCAAACTTTWTTGTATAAACCTTTACACAGGTGTTGTACAAGCTCATTAGCAGCAGCAGCTAGCTGTAGCCCTTCACTTGCAGCCTGGAGAACCTCCAGTAGGAATATTACATTTCTACCAGTATTTCTGTGGAATGTGAAAATGACAGAACGTTAAAGTTTAAAAACCATGTTTGTAAAAACTAATCCTTGAGATTAAAGTTGGCTCCTCTTAGCAGTTAGCTCGCAAATCTGCTCAGAATCAAACTGTTTCCACAAACTGCAACAACTACAACAAGTAAGATATTATTTGTTAGTAACATCTCTACAGAACCCCATGACAACTCTGATGGATGAAAGAGTTTTCATTCTGACTGTGATGTGTGGGATTTAGTCCAAATGTTAGCAGAGCTCCTTATTTCTTAGATGGTCTGGTGATAAGTCGAGACTCACAGAGATGATGGTGATGATGATGCTGATGATGTTGATGATGATGATGATGATGATGATGGTCAGCATGAACTGTGGTCCTCTGTAGACGACACATGTAATGGTATCATGATGATAAATCTTTAAAAAACAGCAGAATTCTGAGTGGTTTTTGGACCAGTTTTAAAGTTGCCATAAAAGCCTTTAAATACAGCATTTAGGAATACCATTAGCTGTTTCATATTTCTGAGTGTGATTTATGAGGCACAAAATAAATTAGAAATAAAAACCAGCCTGAACGTTAAAATCAAATCACTGTTTTAAGTCGCCTTGCTTTGTTAGGGTTTTTTTTTTGTTGTTGTTGTTATTGTTTTCTTCAACATGAACTCCACTCTCAGTTAACATGCACACCTAAACACCAGGCACAGCTGCAGATCCTGGTCTGGAAATTGTTGGTGCTTCAGAATATAAAACTATTAGCACTATCACAATTATACAATCTAACTTGGCGAGCCTTCTGCACGCCAAAGAGGAATCTGTTTTTTTTTTTTTTTTACTATCCAGGTCTGCATGTTTATGATGTTTGTTCGCTTTCCACATCAACAATTCAAGTGTTTTTTTCAGACATTTTGAAATGAATGAATGCCGACGCCACGTCTGCTGGTAAAGTACGGTCCGTGGAGGTGAGAGCCACTGTGCACCCTGGTAGAAATCCGGACCGCCGCTGTGGGAGGCGGGAATTGCTTTGTGGCACTTTTAATACTGACGTAGATTTTGCTCTCGCAGAAGCAGCAGATGTGGGCAGTGGGATGTCCTTTTTGAGGCAGGTGAGACAGGACATGGAACCAGACGTGCAAAGACGTGCAAGGCAAAGGAGGACGCTCCAATGCGTCCCTCCCCTGACTTTAAGAATAAAGAGATACAAAAAAGCAAAGAAAAAAACGGGTGGCAAAAGATTTTTTTTAAAAAATGAGACTTTTTTTCTTTAAGCAGAGTGTGTGAATAAAAAAAGAGGCTTTAAAAACATGATTTCATTGCTGCGTAAGAAGTGGGGGTGAACCTGGGGCTGCAGCGATCGAGCAGGTGGAAGCAAACAAAACAAAAATCAAAAGTTTCTAAGAGGGAAGAGTTTTCTCGTTGCAGCACTGGTACTGTCTCTGCGTTCCCACGTTGCTTCGTTTTTTTAAATGTTTGCGTTGATGTTGCTACTGTTCATTCCCCCCGCCCCCAAGTCCTTGTCCCTCGCGTCTTCTCAGATCCTGGCTCAGTTTTCTGCATCAGTTTCTGAAAGTTGCTCACATGTTGTAGGCCACGTAGATGGGGTCTAGTTGGTCCGCCAGGAAGGAGTCTCGCAGGTGCATCCTCTGCTTCTCTCCCCTGGAGTTGATGGGAATCACGCCGGGGTCCACGATGACCACCACCCCGACGATCAGGTGGTGCTCCTCCAGGACAACGTTGGTGACGAGGGGCACCAGGTCCAAGGCCTCCTGTTCTGAGCCGCTGAGCTCGGCCACCACCACCAGCAGGTTGGTCCAGGTGAACACGGCGCTGGTGAGACGGTACGGACAGGATTTAGTCAACAGCTYTATCTGTGGTGTGGCTTGAGAACACAACAGAGGAAAGACCCTCACCTCTCTGCGATGCTGCGGTGGGCTCGGGACACAGACGTCTCGATGTCGATAGGGTGATAACGCAAGCCCCTCAGCTCCAGCGTTTCGTCCAGAGAGCCCACCACAAACAAGGCATCATGGCGATCTGTGGTAGGGAAAAAAAAAAGATTTCTCTTACGCACACGCAGATTTAATGAAGTAATAAATAAAAAACAAAACCGAACTGATTGAGGACAGTTTCCACAAACGTTCTCTGACCTCCGCTCGCATCCAGCAGCTCGGTCCTTTTGATGAAGCCCAGGTAGCCGGTCCGAGCCCAGAGAGTCTGAGGATCCCCAAAGCTGAGTTTGGTGTTGAAGTGATCCGCCTGCAGACTCTCCTCTCCATAGATGGTGTAGTAACCGCTGGCGCAGTGGGGGGAGTTCACCCAGATCTGCACAGACACAGACAGGAAGGGGACTTTTTTTAATTTGTGCTCAAAATCCAGGCTTAAAAAAACTGACAAATTCTAACTAAGACTGGTTCTACTTTTATTATCAACCAACTCTTTTCATTTTAAAACACTCAAAACATAACAACACTGACATGTGACCCTCTGATCGTTTCTGCACACTCACCTCCCCAAGATGTGAGTCTCCCAGAGGACCCCTGGTTTCTGGGTTGACTATGATACACCGGACTCCTGGCAGAATCTTTTAGGAGAAAAAAAAGAGAAAATGAGAGAGAAAAGATCACCGAGAAAACTGAATGTGTTAAAAAAAATCACCCAAACAGAATAAAGATATCTATATAAATCCCCAGTAGAGAGTAAATAAACTTTTTGCACTCCTGGAGACTCCAAGTTTACAACAAAATGTATTTAATGTCTAAAAAAAATTGGATTTTGCATGAATTTCCCTTTAATTATCTCTCTGGTGGGCAATCAGAGCATCATTTAAATAAGTTTAACACCACTTACTGTGCCTGACTCCATGAGTGGAAGACTCTGTGGTGCTCCTTTTTCCACCAACCTCACCCTGACAGACAAAAAAAAGAAAAAGAAAACCCACTGGTTTGATCTGAAAGACAACCAGAGCTTGATTTTACCAGCAACAGGCTCTTTGTCTGACCTGTCATGACGCAGAGACTTCATATCAACATAAACGGTGGAGGGATCTGGTCCAGAAGTGCCCTGGTGACACAGAGAGCCAATATTAGCTGATTTAATACATAAAAAAAAGTCCAGGTGGAAAACCCAGTGAGCTCAGGTTTCTGGGCGCCGGTTYGAAACCCACCTGCAGGCCGATGGCCAGGTTCACCCTGGAACCAAAGGCTGTGCTGACGGCCCGCAGCGAAAGGCCGAGGTCTTTGAAGAGTTTGGAGAAGGACTGTGTGAGAGCGAGACGAGGCCGCTCCTCAGCTATCACCACGCAGCTCCGCACGCAGGACAGATTCACGCCCCGCGCCTGAACACGCACAAAGGTCAACGACAACTGTAGACCGAGGGCGACAAACAACAACACAAATGTTCTGACATTAAACAAAATGTTTTGATTCTGACCTTCAGCATCTCCGTCTGAGTGCCCAGGCCCTTGGTGCAGAGCTCCATGACCGAGTAGGAGCAGAAGGTGTCTCTGATCTTGTACTGACTGAGCGTGCTCAGCCACACAGGCAGAGACGTCTCCAGCTCCAGCGGAGGAATAAGGATCGACTGGTGACCTGAGTAAACACTGGAAAACAAAAAACACGCTCGCTGAAGCAGCCGTGTGACGTTTGCAGAAGCTACGAGCTCTGTAAAGAAAAAGAAAAAAAGTTTTGTGTGTTTCTGCAACCTGGAGAGGCACCACAGGACGAAGCCCAGGCCGCAGTACGGGTCCAGGCAGATGGCTATTTGGCGTGAAGAGTAGAGCTCACACTGCAGCTTGATGGAGCGACAGAGAGTGCTGACTGCTGCATGAGACATCTAAAAAACGTATTCAGAAAAAAAATTCTAACACTTTTTTTCAGAAACGGCACAATTACATTTATTTACAAAAAACACCTTGCAAACTGCAGAACAAATGATTCAACAAGCAATTCAGCAGCAAAACTTCTCAGTATTTGTTTGGCGTTTTCCCAGAAAAATTGCTCAAGGTTTTTTTTTTTATCAAAAGAGAAAAAAGATGAAAATAACATTTTGTTCAGTTCAGACAAATCTGCGACTAAAGTTGATTATTTGTAGTGAACCTTGACTCCAGTCAGCATGCCTGTGGTGGACACGCTGAAGTCCAGGTAGGCCAGCATCTCAGCTGTAGGAGGCTTATAAATGTGTGGAGGACGCTTTCTGGGGAGATCATCTGACAAGACAGGAGAAAAAAATCTGTTTTTCCTCTTTAACCAAGAATATTACACACTTCAAATATTCCATTTTCTGGCGTAAAGAATGGGTTTAATCTCAGACGATGATGTACGTCTCACAGCAAGGTTTAAAAATGTCACAAATGTGAACTACACAATTGTTTAAGAAAATGACAACAAATATAACTAAACATATTTGACACTATTGTGCAAACCTTAATCTATATTCAGTTAGTCTTTAAGCAGAAACACCACCTAATAACATCCAGAGTTGAGCCATAAAACTCACAGAGTGCAGAAGATAAATCTCACCACAGCTGGATTCAGCTGCATCTCACTGTGTCTGCTGATAAAGCACGGCCCCAAAGCACTCCTAATTCAGCAGACATCAGAGTTTAGTACCTGTGTCAATGATCGTTGGCCACGTTTTGACGTTGACGCTGACAGCAGCCTCCCTGGACCTGAGGGTTCTCATGAGGGGTTGAGTGGTGAGGATACAAGCTGCTTTGCTAACCTGTGAACCACCGCAAAAACATCTTTGCACTTCAGAAAAACAGACACTTGGTGGGGGGGTCTTCTGAGCATGTTTCTGCACAAAGACGTAATTATTGACAGTTTATTGAACTTTTAGGTTCAATTTTATTTAAAGCCCTCCAGGGAAATCAGTTCCAGGAGTAAAAAAAAAAAAACAAGTATTTGACGATTAAGTATGATCTAAATACGAAAACGGTTTTATTAAAACTGCTTTACAGTTAGATTTGAGAGTGGGTTTCTGTGACTAATCAAGACTTTTAATCTTCCGCTGACATTCCAAGGTTAAGTAAAATCTAAAGGACTTCTCTGATTTGGGTTATGTGGACTCACGTCGATGATCATGCGGACTGTCGGCAGAGTAGCAGCCAGATTCTGAGGATGAGGCGGCCTCACTGTCACGGGGATGACCCCGGCATAGAGGCAGCCGTAGAAGGCAGCAATCAGGTCAATGCCTGCAGAGGGAGACACATCGTAAAACCTTGTAAATGTCTCATTAAAAAAAAGCCTGTTTCCATCTTTACTCAGTGCTGTTCTGTAGTAATGTGTGCTGTTTGAATGTGTGTATTCACCTGGGGGATAAAGCAGCACCACATTGTCTCCTGTGTTGAGGCCTCCTCTTTCCATCAGGGTGGCCGTGATTTTTTCTGCTCTCTTGTGTAGCTGCGCACAAGTGGCTGTGCACACGGCTACGCCCTGCAGCAAACATGATACGGCTCGACATTTGTGATAAAACCGCCACATAAAAATGACAGCATGACCCACATCAGCTCGTCATTAACACTTTTCTCAGATTGAGTTTCCAGGTATCTGTGTATCTGTGATAAATCTACCTTGGCATTGAGCAGCACATAAAGAACGTGGTCCGGGTCGGTTTGGGCTCTCCACTGCAGAGCTTCAGACAAAAACTGGTGCTGGAAAAGAAAAAAACATTTTAAAAGAAAGTGAAAGGACGTGTGGAGCTTAACACTAAAGTAAAACAAATATTTCTTTGAAAAAAAAGGTTTTTACTTCAGTTCTAAGCATAAATTAATCTGCACAAAAAAGCAACATTATTGGCAAACCATAATCTATTAAAAATATCAAACAAATAGCCTAAAATTGACTCTAGATTGAAATTAATTGCTGAAACTGACTATTTAAAAAAAGAAAATATTTAAAAACAAGTCAAAGATATTCTGTCAGGAGTGCAGAAATACTTAAATTAACCAGTACAGGGTCTTAGTGACATTCTGCACCTCATAAGAGGCAAATTACAGCCTCTGTTAAAACGTAACATAATATCCATTTAAGGCTTTTCAAATGTTTGCCTGATCAAAAGGTGCTAGTATTATAGGAATAAAATAAAATGAAGTTGCAAAAAGAGGAAGAACTTTGCAGAGTAACAGACACGACAGGAGAGAACATTTAGGCCAAAAGTCTCTTCACAGCCAAAAGGACGTGTAAACATCAGAGCACAGATAAAAGGAAGTGACGTTTCTTTGAACACACAAACAATACTGAGCAGCTTTTGTGACGTTCCTAAATCACTTGTCAGATTCATCCTCTGCGACATCCACTCTCTCAGTCAGACAACACATCGTGCTCTGAGTCAGGAGGGACGTCATGCAGCTGCGTTGCTTCGACCACTCATGAAGCCATGCCACACAGCGAGCAGAGGTGCACACCAATATGCTCCCAAAGAAGACATAAAAAAAACATGTCCCGCTTTTAAAAATAAAAAGTGGACTCTGTGAGCACATCGTCTGTCAAATCTGTTCAATTTCAGACCTGACTTCATATTTAAATAATTAAGTATATGACAAAGTAATTGTGTAGACCCCAGCTGGCAAAGGAGTCGGCATAGACCACCGTTATTAGACGCCGTCAGGCTGAGCACAACTGCAGAAGCACATGACTGACAAGCAGAAGCAGAGAGGGGTCAGGGCCAGACTAGAACCTTACCATCATGGTGGGCCACATACAGAGCTAAAGCCCAACCCGAGTAAAGGCAGAACAACAACACAGGTTTAGCATAAAACAGCAGCATCCTTTTCTCCTGACAGATTCAGGGTTACAGTATCTCTAACTTGGATGATACATGCAGCATATTTCCAAGTGATCCATCGGTTTCATTTCAACACTTTCAACTCCATTTGTTTCACATGTTGTTAAAATCCAGAAACGTGTTCATTGAAATGATAAAATAAATAAATACATAGGATGATTTTCTTTCTAAACATTATCAAAAACTAGATGTGTAATTTTCTGTCTTTTATATAATATAATATAATATAATATAATATAATATAATATAATATAATATAATATAATATAATAACAGTATTATAAATGATGACATATTTTTTTTGTTAAACTGTCCAGACGTTAACAATACAGGCATACGCAAAAATTTTAAATCTTACAAATTAAACTTTATAAAATATGCATTCAAATAAATAACTGCGCTCCATAGCCCCATGCTACATTCTTTATTAACATTAAAATCAGAGAACATGTGATTGAATTTGTGAATTACTGTCTTACCTTTCGAATGAGATCTTGATCCTCCACCACACCCAGCTCTCTGCCGGTCGCCTGGGCGATTCGTTTCCCCGCCACCAAGTTGCCGACCAGCATCGAAGCAGGACCTACATCCACTGATCAGATCAGAAACAATCAGATACCATCATCAACAGAGATCCAGCAGCAGACACAATGCTAACAGAGAAAATACTCAGACACTGACCTTCCAAAAGCAAAAACTAACTTATTGTATATTCAGCTACTATCCACTTTAAAGTAGTCAAATGATGTTGGTAAAACTCCAGCCACATTTTCCTTTCGTTTATTTGAAAAGTACTGACTAGCAGATTCACAGACTGTACATGATTTCAATGAAATCCTTACCTTACTGCTCAACCATAGGGGTAGCAGGCAAACTGAATGTGATTTGATTTTTGTTTTTATGTAATATGCTCAGCTGATGTCTGGGATAGCTCACCTGGCTGTTTCTGACGAGGCTTGGGCATGTTTGTAACGCAGGTGTGTGGACACATCAGGATATTGCAGGGATGCAGGTTACCCTCCAAAAAATTCTGCTTGGTTTCACAGATATGGATTCCCCCTAGTGGTGTCTTTGGCAGGGTGTTGGCTGGGACAAGGGCAAGGCAGTACAGACCGACTTGGTGGATGCTGTCGATGGCCTACGGAGGACACAAGTGTCACAAATAAGTGATACAGTTCAGTGAGCACAAAGCTTAGATTATTTAATACAGGTATAAAGAAAGCAAATATTTGAATTACCTGCAGTACTCGACTCATCCACTGGAAGCTGTCTTCTTCACTGGCATCAGGCCTTTGTTCTGCCACGACAACTATCCTCTCATCATAAAACACCGTCACTGAGAAGACAGCAATCCTGCACAGGTGACAGAAAGGAGCTGTGAACAAAAACATACCTTGCACTAGGGACGCACCGATATYGATATCCGATATAATTATTGCTATTATGCCCGCTAACCGATATTTACCTATATTAAACAAACACACAAATTATATTATACATATACGAACAAACACACTTGGGTCTTTTCTTGATACTGTAAATAAACGACCAGACCTCCAGAGTTGTAAAGTACAAATACTTCTTTACTGTGCTTAAGTAGAATTTTTGGATATGTGTACTAGAGTAATTATTTTTCAGCCTACTTTTTTATTTTTATTTATTTACCATTATTTAACCAGGCAAGTCCCATTGAGATCTCAGATCTCTTTTTCAAGGGAGTCCTGGGCCTGAAGGCAACCTATTGTACATGTTTTGGGGGGTGGGGGAAACCGGAGTACCTGGAGAAAACCCACGCAACCACGAGGAGAACATGCAAACTACACACAGAAAGACCCCAGGTCCGAACCGGGGATCGAACCCAGGACCTTCTTGCAGTGGGGTGTCAGTGCTAACCACTGAGCCCTCGTGCTGCTTTTTACTTCTWCTTCTTACATTTTCACACAATTATCTGGACTTTCTATTCCTTACATTTTTTTTAAAAGGCAAGTAGAAAGTTGCTATTTTTTCTTTCATTTTTGCTTGTTTTCATTCCGGCTTATTATTATAAAAAATAAATACTATCCATATAAATTGTACACCCTAGAAATAGTGAATTTAATTGTGATTGAATGAGAAGTGTATATACTGTGTGTGTATATATATATATATATATATAGTAYACACACACACACACACACATATATATGCCGCCACATGCATTTTTGTACTAGGCTAAATATGTCTGCTTTTAGTATGTATATACACACATATACATACATACATACATACCGATATTCTAAATAAATGACAAATATTGGCCGATACCGATATGAATGCCGATATATTGTGCATCCCTACCTTGCACAAACATTCAGTTAGTAAATTAATCATTTATTTCTAGATGTATGCCCTAAAATCTCATTTATGTCCACTTATGAGGGAATAGTATACAGAATAGAGCTAAAAGTTCAGTGGCTCAGGGAGGCCAGGCGGTGTCATACCTCCCTCTGTAAACTGTTTTGACAGGCTCCACAGCCAGCGCAGTGGCCACCAGGTCGTCAGCATTATGGCGTCGTCCGCTCACCATCAGGAGTCCCTCAATCTTCCCCACAACAAACACAAGACTCCCCTGTGGAGCAGATCGTTTTACTTGACCGAAGTGGCACCACCATTAATGCTTTTCAAAATGTAAAACAAAAACAAAAGGAAAACTACGACTGCTCTACACTTCACTACAATGTTATAAAATCCATCTAAATATTTTCCTGTGAATAAACCAGTTAACGTCTTCCTTACCGGTCCCACAAACCCAAGCAAACCAGTTCGACTGAAGGGAATTTCACCAACAGGAGCTCCAGCCTGGTTCACAGGGATCACCTAAAGAATAAAAACAGTAGAAAGATTGAAAGTACAAGACGAACAGCAGAGTAAAAATCCTCACAGCTCCAGATGCCACAGTGAGATCCTACAGCTTCACTAGTGTGAATAAGTGAAAGTATCTTTAATGAATATTTTCATGCTGGTAACGTTACAGAACAAATATAAAAAATGTTTTATGATGTCTGGGACATCAAATAATAAGCTGATCCCAGAACAAAATGTACAAGTGGAACCAAGCAGTGATGTTTCATACTATTGTTTGTTGAAGCACAGTACATATCAAACTCTGTTCTGTTAAATAAAACAAATATGTGATTGTCGAGTCAGCAACATTAAACATCAGTTTCTAACAAACCTCAAATGTGTTCTTGGTGACACCGGGAAGGCCGTAGTACATCGTGCCTCCAGCCCGAGAGTTGATCACAATCTCTCCAATCTCATCCGTCTTGCACAGCTGTGGAGGCCCGTCTGGTTTCACGATGCACATCAGTGCTAGCACACACAATTAGGTCACAACATTACTAGACGTACATTCAGGCTCTCTTTCTATAAAAACAAAAAAAATGTACAGCAAACGCAGCAGCTRCTGTACTGCTTTACGGCTGACTGCAGCCGTCTGCAGCAGCTCACCTCCAGGCATGATGTGGCCCACATCCTGCACTGTGAGAGCAGAGTTCTTGTCCTCTGTGTTGACCCTGATGACCCCGTGGCTCAGCCCGCCCATGGACAGGATGGCCCTGGCTGGGAGAGGAGCTCCGCGAGCACCAGGCCTACAGATAAGGCACAAAAAAAAAAAATCAAACATATTACTTATTAAACTCAAGATTTAATGTTTTTAATTGTGTAAATGAGGCATTTGTTAAATATTCCATTTACATAAACAAAGAGTTTCTACAAAGTGAATAAAACTCTTGCAAGCTGGTGCTGAGACAAGAAAATTCTTATCCTAACTTCTACAATCTTTCTATACGAATTTGAAAGACAACAACATAAACAATACAATGTGTGCTTAATATTCCCACTAAGCTTAAAACCAATAATACATGAACTGATATTCTGTAAAATAACTACATTTAAGAAGGATGAAGTCACATTAAAATCAGTAACAGTATACAGATGAAGACGTGTTACCTGCGTATGGCCACAGTCAGGGCCTCAGGCGAAGTGGCACACGGACAAATGACCTCAGGCCTCAGACCGTGTGACTGGAACACGTTCAGGAAGGCGTCACAGGACGACACAGACCCTAACAGTAAACAGCAGGTGCAAATGTTAAAATGATAAGATTAAAACTTTCCACTCGTACATTTTCCAACATTACAAAGGGAAAACGCTTGTAGATGAGAAGTTCCTCACATGGATTTGCTCCATCAGCCACTATAAGCATTCGTATAGAAGACAAGTTGATGTCCTTCTGATCCTTTTGGGCCATCATAGCCCAGTGGAGGTCGCGGCATTTCACCAAGGCCACACGTGCTGTGAAACAAGAAGAACGGGTTATTTACACCAATCAGCCAGGTGAAGTCTCGTTAAAACACAACGCTCGCTAATTATATCAAAACATGAAACTTGGTTGAACCTTTGTGGATGTGAACTCTCTGAACCCAAGACATGGGACAGGCTTTCATAACAGAATATGGCACGGTGATGGTGTGAATTCTGTTCATGACACTCTGAAAGAGGAAAAAAATATATATAAACACGTGTCCATTTCATAACGTGGTACACTACAGTTAAGAACAGCTGACAAAAAACTGCATCCAGTCGCACCGTTAAGACGCCGTGCCACAAGCCCATATCCTTCTTGCAGTCCAACACATTGACCAGAGTCTCCCCTAAAATGAAAAACAGGAATATTTAATATTGAAAAGTCAGATTTTAAGGCTTTGGCATCTTATTCTTATGGGCTTACAAAAGCAAAAGAAAACAAAGAGGTGTCGTCTTTGTTATGTAAAGCTCTGACCTTCACAGTAGTTGCAGGCCTGACTCAGAGCCTGACAGTGAGTCAGCATGGAGATCTTGGAAACAGCAACTCCCATCACGGTTCCTTCTTTGCTTGCTTTGTACTTTGGAAAGAACAAGACACGCGGATGTCTATGTGATGTTTAAAAACAGCTGAGGCAACCAACAAACCAAAAACATTAATTATATGTAAATTTCAGCACAGAAACAGTACTTCACTTAGTTAGTTTAATAGTGGATGTTTTATGTACAATAAGAAATAAACTTGGATTATTATGTTATTTATTTCCTCAAAAGGTTTTGGTGAAATGATAGAAAAAGTGCATTTATAAAAACATCATCAAATCCAATTTATTAAAGGATTAGGGAACTTAAGTTTAAATCCATCTTCTGAACAAATCAGAGGAAGCATTCTAATGCCACATCATATTCTCAGAGTACCTCGATGTAGGCGGTGTCTGTGTTGGCAGTAGGGATGTGAGGCTGCCAGTCTTTGGATGGTTTGGTCAGGTACTTGGTGTCTGTCACGACCCATTTCATCCTTGGCCATCCTGGTAAATGTATTCAGAACACCACAAAAATAAAACCATTAAACAGGAAGACAGAGAGGAAAATAGAAGGTGGTTTAGCCAATCAAAACATGCCTTCTCAATAATCAACAATATTCTCAATACAACTTTTTCTGTAATTGCTAAATTGAATACATCATATACTCTACAACAATAGGTTCATTTAAAGGCTCTAAAATAAATCAGGGCCCAGATAAGTCCTGCTGAGCCAGCAGAAATAGAAAAAGGCAGTTCCAGCTTGCTGACCTTTAAACTGAACAATCTCTCCATTTGGAGTCTTGGGCAGCCCTTTGAGGCACACCTCACTGGTCAGCGCCAAACTCACACCACAGCTGCCCAACAGGAAGCCGATCTGCTGGCTGCCTGCATCCTACGGACAAAAACAAGTAGGCAACAGAGAACAAACAGGCTGGTTTAAAAGCTGGTAATTAATATGGTAATAAAAAAACAAACAAAAAAAAAACAATCTCTACATTTGCTTTTTACAAAAAATAAATAAATCTAACACCGTGAAATATTATTCCGAATAATATAAACATCTATTACTTTGAATTCATTTATATTAAAAGAGCTGATTCTTGATTTGTTCTTATTAACTACAGCTATGTCCTGATGCATCTCAGTAATCCAGGTAAAAAATCAAAAGGAAAAAAATTGTATAGGTCCTCTGGACGGGTTCAGACAGCTGCTGCTCAATTTTTTTCCTTTTGATTAACAACAGCTACTTAATCTTATACAGTAATTTATTTAGAAACCAGTGATAAATGTACCTGACGAGACAGTGGTACCTCAATGGGAACGGGAATGACCTCGGCTAACAGACAGCCATAAAAAGCCACCCAGAACATTCCAGGGTCACTGTTTGGATACACCAATGCCACCTGAAAGGCAGAAAAAAAGACTAAGAATATTTTAACCTTTACATAGCAAAATATCGGGCAAACTCTTACTCGATCTCCAGGTTGTAGGACAGGTTCAGTCTTAGTGCCCAATTTATTCAGCAGCGTGTAAGCCAGCTTTAAACTGCGACTCCATAGTTTGCCTGTGGGAAGGAAAAAGTACTTTAGAATATCCCATATTTTATTGGTAAGTTATAGCATTTTGTTATACTACGTTTTAATTTGTTGAGTCAGTTTTATTCAGCAGGTGTTATACTGATCAGAAAGCTAATTCCCACTGATTTTATCCAGTGTATATAGAAAACACCTACTTTACATTCACAACTAATGACCCCCCCCAAAAAAAATCTAAACTGAGTTATTTAGACTATTTACCCATTTAACATCCACCTAAACATGCCAATGAGTTCATGCTCACCATATGTGAGTGTGTAGAGGGGTTTGCCAGTGATGTCGAGCGCAGTGAGGGCAGGGCTCTTGGCCTGAGTGGCCCCCCATCGAGCGAGGGCAGCCTGCAAGGCAGGAGGCCAATTACTGACCACTCCCAGAGGCTCCCCCTTCACTGGGATGATCTGACGTCCCTCAGGCTTTGGGGTGTTGGGATCTGGTCGGGGAACTGGGCATAAGAAAAAACACAAATTAAAAGTAAAGCCACGGCAAAATAAGTTATTAATTTTCTACACAAAAAAATTAAATTGGAAAGTAATCTTCCAACTACTATTTAGCCACTCATCATTCAGATTGTGTTAAACTCTACAATGGTACAATTGAGGTATGATAAATCTGTTCTTTATTTTAAACAAACGTATGCCTACCTTCTACAATTTCCTCCGAGTCATCAAGGAAGAATTCACTCAGTGGTGGTCTTTTGGGTCGTTTGAGTGTGTTCAACAGCTGCTGGATCTTAGTGGACACTCGGCTGCTGACGGGCACGCCTGGACAAACACCAAGAGCAGTCACAAATGTATGCAAAACAAAACAAATCATATACACACACACACACACACATGCAGCTCTGTTTCACACACTCTCACACAGGCAGAATGCTACACACTAGCACAGTCAGAATCAGATTCAAAATCAGCAGCAGGAAGAGTTTGAAAGGGAAATTTGAACGCAAGGAGACACAAATAGGGCGATTTTAAGGGAAATCAAATACAGGAAGTTCTCTACGTCTAAACCTAAGAGATGAGACAAACATAAAAAAAAGTCTGAAAAGCAAGCTGGTTTGGGCTTCTTCAGCATCCCTCCCCTTCCCCAGGGTCGACTTATATTACCTTTTCTTTTTCCTTTTTTAAATCAAAGGCAAGACAGGGGACAGGATTAATGGACCCAAAAGAAAGAACACAAAATATGTCATTAGCAGCCTTCACCACACTAGAAACAGATGATGTTTCCGGTCATTTTAGGTCAACATTTTAGTACATTCTATAAAAACCAATAGAATCATTGCAAAACAAAAGTCTTTCAGCTATCATGATTAAAACATGCATACCTGCAACCTTAAAAAAAGAAAATCAAAAGACAGCAACCCAAGTGCTACGATTATAAAAAGATAAGTTAGATATTTTCCCCCTCACTTGATTTCCTCAACAGACATTCATTCACATCGTGGCTTGTGTGATTATACCATCAGCAGTATCCAGCATGCTGGAGCGACTCTGTCCACGACTCATGCCCCTGACTGCTGGGGGAAGGTCCACTCTGGATCCTCTATCCTGTGGCGTGGAGGATGTCACATCTGGGGGCACGCTGTTTTCTACTGATAGGTATGAAATAATCCCATCAAGGTCAAAAAGAACCATCAACCAGCTGGGTTCTTCATCAGTAAGGTTTACCTATGTTTGTGTGGGCCAGTACGTCGGCCAGCAACGAGACACCAGGCTGAGGCTGGGGCTGGCTCTTAGGCTCTCCGTGGGAGAGGGTGGAGGAAGCAGACGAAGAGGTGGAAGAGCTTTGGACGGAGCGATTGATCCAGTAATCGGGGCTCTGCAGGGTCTGAGCGAGTACTGCACTGAGAGCTGCCTTTCTGCGCAGCGAGCCTTCATCCTCTGATGCAGAGGGTGTATCTGAAATGAATAATGCGAAATCCATCACAATAAGCCCTTCATTTAAGACATATCTCAGTATATTTCTTAGGTTTTTTTTATTGATAATTTGTGCTACATGTTTGTTAGAGCCAGACATCTAAGCCCAAACTGTCAGGTAAATGTGATAAAACAATTTCACCTGGAGGTGTGCAGTTATCGATGGGAGACTGAACAAAGGCTGAGCGTCTCTTGGTCGGCATGGGAAGTGCCATCTTCTCCTCTTTGTGTTTGGCCAGAGCCGCTTGCACTGCTTCCGTGTGAATATCTAAACAAAACGAGACAATAAAACACCAGCATCGTAAACTATGAGGCGTAAAATGCTTCTTTTTCCTTGTAATAATTGATTTACCTTTTTAAATGGACCTTTGTGTTGTTTTTATGAATGAAATACAATGAATAAATATAATACAAAAAACATAAATAAAATGTGTACCTGATCTGTAACGCTCATCCCTGGCCCCTCCACTGCGGTGTGCACGATGGTGTCTGGAGGCTGAAGAGTTGGAGGGGCCTGGGGCCTCGGGACTCGGGCTGGGGTCGGCACTGTGGCTTGGGGAAAGCTGTACATCTGGTAGAGAAAGGTCTGCCTCTGCAGAACAGAAACATACGTGAAAAGTTAATATAACTTCTTTAGGGAATTAACAAGAACAATGCGGTAAAAAATAAAATTAGTTCAACTGAATGGAAAAAGTGTTTATTCTTGCTCATTAGAAATTAGCTTGCAGTGGCATTTATGGAAGAAATATGGAACTTATTTTGTTATGTTAATGTTTTCGTGCGACTAATGTGTTGTAATTTTTCCTGAGGAAATGACGCCCTTGCGTGTAGCAGAGAAACTGAGTAGGTCAGCTTTTCCACTGACTCCTGTAATGTAGATAGCTGGACCAAAACAGGTTTGAGATGTGTGTGTGTGTGTGTGTGTGTGTGTGTGTGTGTGTGTGTGTGTGTGTGTGTGTGTGTGTGTGTGTGTGTGTGT